GTCTTGCTCTGTTGCCCAGGCTGGAGTGCAGTGGTGTGATCTCGGCTCACTGCAATCTTTGCCTCCCTGCAATCTCTGCCTCCCTGCAATCTTTGCCTCCCAGGTTCAAGCAATTCTCCTGCCTCAGCCTTCCAAGTAGCTGGGACTTCAGATGCGTGCCACCATGTCCAGCTCATTTTTGTATTTTTAGTAGAGACAGGGTTTCACCATGTTGGCCAGGATGGTCTCGATCTCTTGACTTCGTGATCTGCCCACCTCAGCCTCCCAAAGTGCTGGGATTACAGGTGTGAGCTACTGTGCCCTTCCTACCAGTATCTTTTCATAGATATTTTATTCATCAGTATAAATATATACATATATGTCCCTTTTTAAAACACAAATAGAGGCAAGCCGTACACACATACACACACACACACACACACACACACACACACACACACAGTTCTATACCTTGATTTTACTACTTAATATCTTTCCATACTGGCACATAGAGATCTTTCATTTTTATTTTGAGACACAGAGTCTCTGTGCCAGATTACAGTAGCATAATCACAGTTTACCATAGCCTCAACCTCCTGGGTAGCTGGGACCACAGGAGAGCACTGCCGCCACACTTGGCTTTTCAAATTTTTGTAGAGATGGAGTCTTGCTATGGTTGCCCAGGCTGGTCTCAAACTCCTGGGCTCAGGCGATCCTCCTGCCTCAGCTTCCCAAAGTGTGGCATTACAGGTATGAGCCACTGCACCTGGCTTTCACATTCTTTTCATAGCTATTTAATATTCTACTATACAGGTATACCATAATTTGAGACGGAGTCTCACTGTATCTCTCAGGCTGGAGTGCAGTGGCATGATCTCAGCTTACTGCAACCTCTGCCTCCTAGGTTCAAGTGATTCTCCTGCCTCAGCCTCCGGAGTAGCTGGGATTGCAGGTGCACACCATCACACCCCCAATTGTCTATTGATGGGCATTTATTGTTGTTATAAATGATAAAATGCAATAAAATTCTCCTTTTTTTTGAGACAGAGTCTTGCTCTGTCTCCCAGTCTGGAGTGCAGTGGCGCGATCTCAGCTCACTGCAACCTCCGCCTCCTGGGTTCAAGTGATCCACCAGCCTCAGCCTCCAAAAGTGCTGGGATTATAAGCATGAGCCACTGAGCCTAGCCAAAACTCTTGTATATACATATTTACATACTACTGCAAGTCTACTTGTAGGATAAATTGTAAGCAGCAAGGGACTTCTGATCATCAGCTGCGACAAAGTTGGATACGGTAAGAGTTGGTCTTTACCTGGTGGTGATTTGAAAGGGTTATAGGAGCATGATCCATAGGAGCTATTTCTTCATTGAGACCTGTCCAAGTCATTCATACAGGTGGCTACCACAGGCTGAACATTACATACCATCTTTCTTCTTTCATTTTTCCTTCAATGTAGACAAACCTACCTATCTTCAAGCTGAAGGAGTCCTGTGTACGGCGGCGCTACAGTGACTTTGAATGGCTGAAAAATGAGCTGGAGCGAGATAGCAAGGTATGGCCTTGTTCTCTGTGTGGTATCTTTGGAGGAGGAGATCTACATAGGCTGAGGGGGCATACAACCACAGTCTGTAAAATCTTGAAGGGAATGAAGAGGGTGAACACATTCTTATCCATCAAATCTCAGTATTTTCGATCTGGGGATACCTTTTGAAACTTGAAAGTGGTAAGTTCTGGCTGGACATGGTGGCTCATGCCTGTAATCCCAGCACTTTGAGAGGCCGAGGTGGGTGGATCACCTGAAGTCAGGAGTTCAAGACCAGCCTGGCCAACATGGTAAAACCCCATCTCTACAAAAAATACGAAAAATTAGCTGGGCGTGGTGGCGGGCGCCTGTAATCCCAGCTACTTGGGAGGCTGAGGCATAAGAATTGCTTGAATCTGGGAGGTGGAGGTTGCAGTGAGCCAAGATTATGCCACTGCAGTCCAGCCTAGGCGACAGAGGGAGGCTCCCATCTCAAAAAAAAAAAAAAAAAAAAAGAAAGTGGTAAGTTCAGGACAAATTTTTTTTAAAGTATTACTTCACTTAGTCACTAGTAAGGCTGTACAGCTTAATTCCTGTAGGTGCTAAAAATGGAAAGTCTAGTGTCAGGAAAATCCTAGCTAAATTATTGAATGGTAGTGGCTTGTTAAGGAAAGTGATGAT